CAGGTGAGTTCTTTATCACTAGCACCTGGGAAACTCATATAACTGTGTCCATGCGGTAGTCAGTCATTCAGTCCTGTCCAACTCTTTGCGACCCCATGGACTGTAGCCCGTCAGGCCCCTCTGTCCATGGGAATTCTCTAGGCAAGAATACTGGAATGGGTTGCCATGCTTTCTTCCAGGGGATGTTCCCAACCCAGGGATTGAACCCAGGTCTCCCGCATTGCAGGCAGATTCTTCACCAGCTGGACTACCAGGCAAGCCCTATATATGGCCACAATCAATCCGCAAATAGACAGTGTTGCTTCTTCCTTTCTAGTTGGTATGCCTTTTAATTTTTTCTTGCCTAATTACTCTGCTAGAATTTCTGGCATGCTGTGGAAAAGAAGTGGCAAGAGTACATCCTTACCTTGTTCATAATTTTAGTGATGGTAGCCTTCAATTTTTCAGCATTAAGTAATGTTAGCTTGTTTTTCATAAATGTCTATTCGGTTGAAGAGATCCTCTTCTATTCCCGTTTTTTGGTTTTTGTTTTTTTTAGCATGAACGGGTGTTTGTTGGATTCTCCTACATCTCTATTGAAGTGATCGTGCATTTTTTTCTTTTACTTATACTGTTAATACTGCATAGTACATTGATTTCCATGTTAAACTGACCTTGCACCTGGAACTAATCCCCTTAATTGTAGTATATAATTGTTTAATGTGTTGCTAGATCCCATTTGCTAGTATTTTGTTAAGGATTTTGTGTCAGTATTCACAAAGGACATTGGTCTGTAGTTTTCTTGTGGTGCCTTTTCTGGCTTTGTTTATACTAAAATCAAATGCTGGCCTCATGGAATATGTTAGGGTGTGCTCCCTCCTCTTCTGTTTTATGTGAAGAATTTGATTAACAATTACTGTTACTCTTCAAATATTTTTGCCAGTGAAGATATCTGGCCTTAGACTTTTTTAAAACCAGCAGTGTTGTATTGCTAAGTCTCTTTGCTAACGGTCTATTCGGATTTTCTTTTTCTTCTTGAATCAGTTTTTCTAGATATTTTTCCACTTCATCTATATTATCTGTTGACATATTAATTTGTAGTTTATCATTTTTATTTCTGTAAAGCAGTAATGTCCCTTATTTTGTACCTGGTTTTAGTAACCTGTGCCTTTTTTTCCTCCTTGATCCAGCTAAAGGGTAGTCAATTCTTTTGTCTTTTCAAAGAAACAACTTTTCACACTTGCATTTTATATTTTTACATATATAAACACCTCTCTACACATGATGCTGAATGGTCAGCACACCCAATAACTGAAATAACATTATTATTCTTAACATAATGAGCAGGGAGCACTCTTAGAAACTTCTTACATATGTCCTTAAACACCTGTCTGTCTGCATGCATTACACAAGTCAGCCAAACAGTCTCAGATATAGTTTCAACACACTGTGTTAAGAAATAACTTTTGAAACATCCTTTTTTACATATGCACTCAAACACATCTATACATGCATTCATGCATTAGATTCCCTCTTAGTCCTAGGCTTTTTTTTTTTTTTTTGATAATTTGATTGCATGATGTACTTTTGTATTTCTTTGAATTTTTTTTTTTTAATTTTTATTAGTTGGAGGCTAATTACTTTACATCATTACAGTAGTTTGTGTTATACATTGATATGAATTAGCCATGGATTTACATGTATTCCTCATCCCAGTCCCCCCTCCCACCTCCCTCTCCACCCGATCCCTCTGGGTCTTCCCAGTGCACCAGGCCCGAGCACTTGTCTCATGTACCCAACCT